AATAGACATTTGCTTGAAGTCACTCGTGCAATTATGTTTTCTGCTAAAATTACAAAATATTTATGGGGAGAAGCTGTTTTACATGCTACCTATTTAATTAATAGGATGCCATCAAAAACTCTAGGATTTAAAACTCCTATTGATACCCTTCAAGCCAGTTTTCCTGAAACTAGGCTTATTAATTCTCTTCCCATAAAAATTTTTGGCTGCACAGTTTTTATTACCAACCCTGACAGAACTGCAAGCAAATTTGATCCTAGAGGCAAAAAATGTGTTTTCTTAGGACTATCTTCAACACAGAAAGGCTATAAATGTTTTGACCCTATAACAAAAAAGATGTTTGTAACAATGAACACTGTTTTTGTTGAAAATCAATCTTTTTTTGGTACTCATCTTCAGGGGGAGATTCCTAATGAAGATGTTGATAATGTGTCACATATCCATGAAAAACTTGAATCTCTTGACATTAGTCTAGATGCACAATATAATAGACAGTTAGATGCACTAGAAAATAGTCAAGAGTAAAAAAATGAAATAAATTTATCTGGAACAAGGAAAGATGATGAACAGCAGACAAGTAAGTTTTTTGGCAAGGTTTATGAAGGGAGAGTTCCAAATCAAAGAATAGAGGTCATCCCTGATCCTGCCACTGTCCATGAATTTGACTCTGTCAGAAAATGACAAAGGTAATAATTTCAGTGATCTAAATCTACCCATTTGTCCTATTCTCAGTTATCTACATCATTTGCAGCCTTTACCTCTAGTCTTTCCACTGTTTCTATTCCCTTAACCATACAGGAAGCTCTATCTATACCTGAGTGGAAGAATGTTGTTTTAGAAGAAATGAATGCTCTTGAAAAGAATCAGACATGGCAGGCTGTAGAAGTACCCAAAAACAAACCAACAGTGGGATGCAAATGGGTATTTACCCCTAAGTTCAAGGCAGATGGTACACTTGAAAGATATAAGGCCAGATTGGTTGCCAAAGGATACACACAAACCTATGGCATAGATTATACAGACACTTTTGCTCCAGTTGCAAAATTAAATACTATAAGAATCCTTCTATCTCTAGCTGCTAACCTAGATTGGCCTCTTCAACAGTTAGATGTGAAGAATGTTTTCTTAAATGGGAAGCTTGAAGAGGAAGTATACATGAGACCCCCTCCTGGGTTTGAGGAATAATATGGCTCAAAGGTGTGCAAACTGGAGAAAGCCTTATATGGACTTAAACAGTCCCCAAGGGCTTGGTTTGAAAGGTTTACTCAATTCATAAAGAAGCAGGGATTCAAGCAAGCCCAAGCAGACCATACACTATTCATGAAATTCTCCATTAAGGGAGAGATTGCAGTACTAATTGTTTATGTGGATGATATCATTCTTACAGGAAACTATTGTAAAGAGATTGAAGACCTGAAGTAGAAGCTTGCTCAAGAATTTGAGATCAAAGACCTGGGAGAATTGAAGTACTTTCTTGGCATGGAGATAGCCAGATCAAAGAAGGGAATTGTGGTATCTCAGAGGAAGTATGTACTAGACCTACTCCATGAAACAGGTATGAGTGCCTGCAGACCAATAGATACTCCAATTGACCCTAATCAAAAGTTAGGAAATGTCAAGGAAGGAGTACCAGTTAATATTCACCACTATCAAAGATTGGTGGGAAGGCTGATTTATCTGGCACATACAAGGCCAGATATTGCCTTTGCAGTCAGTATGGTTAGTCAATTCATGCATAATCCATTCCAGGAACATCTAGATGCTACCTACAGAATCCTAAGATATTTGAAAAGCTCTCCAGGGAAAGGATTATTTTTTAAAAGAAGTGACAATAGAAGTGTAGAAGCTTTTACAGATGCAGATTATGCTGGTTCAATAACTGATAGAAGGTCCACATCTGGGTATTGTACCTATGTATGGGGGAATCTAGTGACTTGGAGGAGTAAGAAGCAGAATGTGGTTGCTAGAAGTAGTGCAGAATCTTAATTCAGATCTATGGCTAATGGAATCTGTGAACTACTTTGGATCAAGAGAATGATGTCAGAATTGAATATGGAAATGGAACTACCTATGAAGTTATATTGTGACAATAAAGCAGCCATTAATATTGCTCACAATCCTGTGCTACATGATCGTACTAAACACATTGAAGTGGACAAGCATTTTATCAAAGAGAAGATTGAAGCTGGAATTGTGTGCACACCATTCATATCTACCAAAGAACAAACAGCTGATATCTTTACAAAGGGGCTGTTTAAACCAGTGTTTGAATTTCTTATAAGCAAGTTGGGAATGTATGATATATACTTACCAACTTGAGGGGGAGTGTAGAAAAATGTAGCATTTACATGTTATTTTATTATTTGTACATCCGGGACTGTATAGATAAGAATTAGAGTAGATATAGGTCTCTAATTATTAGATTAGCCCGCAGAATAGATAGAATAGATAGATCCTAGTTTTTAGGATCTGTAACAACCTAACCTTATCTGTAACTTGTATATATATCATTGTCGGATGGCTCAATAATATACAAGGAAGATTAATTCTTCAAACTTACACACCTCTTCCTCTAGTTCCCCATTTAGGAAGGCATTATTGATATCAAGCTGTTGAATAGACCAATTGCATGATACAACAAGAGTGAGAAGAATTCTGATAGTTACTGGCTTAACAATTGGGGAAAAGGTTTCTCCAAAGTCAAACCCAAATCTCTGGTGAAACCCTTTAGCAACAAGTCTGGCTTTAATCTTGTTTAAGGAACCATCTGAATTCTCCTTGATTCTGAATACCCATTTGCAACCAACTGCCTGTTTGTCTGGTGGTAAAGGGACTAGTGACCATGTGTTGTTCTTGATGAGTGCATCATATTCTGACTTCATAGCTGCAAACCAATCAGGAGAAGCAAGTGCTTGCTTAACTGATTTAGGCTCAGTATGAGTTAATAGTAAGGTTGGATTTAGTCTTGGTTTCACAATTCCTGATTTGGCTCTTGTAGTCATGGGATGAGTGTTAGTAATAGGAGGGATAGATGAAGAAGATGTTGAGGAAACAGAGTCAGTGGGAGAAGATGAGAGATTATTGTTTATGGGTTGATGAAGATGAGGTGATATATGACCTCATGAAGAGGGAGAAGAATTCTGAGAGTCTGTGAATAGAGAAACAGATGATGATGACTGGGTAGAAGAGGAGTGTGGTGTGTATGATAAGTGTGGGGAAAGAACTGTGAGAGGAGCAGTAATAGAACAAGAATTGGGAACAGACTATGTATTGAGAGTGGAAAAGAGAGCTGAGTATGGAAATTTTGACTCATAGAAGATAACATCTTTTGAAATGTACACTTTTCCAAAAGGTGAGAGGCACTTGTAACCTTTATGTTATGGAGAGTAGCCTAGAAAGACACACTCTTTAGAATGAAAGTCCAATTTGTGTTTATTATAAGGCCTTATAAATGGATAACATGAGCAACCAAAGACTTTAAGGAAGAAATAATATGGGAGGGATCCAAAAAGTTTGTAATAAGGACTGTAATTGTGGATGGATGTAGATGGAGTTCTGTTAATAAGATGGACTGCAGTAGCAAAAGCAGCATCCCAAAATTTGAATGGTAATGTAGAATGAGCAAGGAGAGAGAGACCATTTTCAACAATAGTACGATGTTTTCTTTCAACTACACCATTTTGGTGGTGTGTGTGTGTGGACAAATCAGTCTATGTGTGATGCCTTTTTGTGTTAGAAACTGATGAAATGACCTGAATTCTCCTCCCAAATCTGACTGAATAGATTTGATTGACACAGAAAATTGATTGAGCACATACTGATAGAAATTTTGAAAGGTTGTGATTGCATCAGACTTCTTTTTGAGAAAGAAGACCCAAGTATACTTTGTATAGGCATCAATGAAAGAAATATAATAGGAGTAGCCATCAAAGGATAAAACAGGGGCTGGTCCCCAAAGATCAGTGTAAACTAATTCAAATGGTGAGTGATATTCAGTGGTGGAATTGTGGGATGGTAGTCTGTGTGCTTTGCCTAAACAACATGCAGAGCAGAACTCAACATTATTTTTATTTATAGATGTAACATTACAATGTTTGAGTACAGATTTGAGTGCTTCAAAGTGAGGATGGCCAAGCCTCAAATGCCACAGATTACATTCAACTAAAGAAGTACAAGATTGAGGTTTATGACAAGTAGAACTATAGGAAGACATATTAGTAAATTTTGAGACAGGAAGAGTGGACTGTTGAAGACCAAGAGCTGGAAACTTTGTGAACTTGTAAAGACCATCTTCACCAAGAGTGCCATGTAAAAGAACCTATTTAGAAACCTGTGATTTTACAAAGCACTCATGAGGATAGAATTCAAAGAATACATTGTTGTCTTTTGCAAACTGTCTAACAATCAAAAGATTTTTGTTAATAGATGGAACATGCAGAATATTGTTGAGTGCTAGATATTGAGAAGAGTGAAGAGGTGAAGGAAAGGAAGAGTGACCAATAGACTTTATGTCCAAACCTTGGCCACTACCCATAAAGAGCTTCTCAGTTGTTGCAAACGGCTCACTGTGCCGAAGGTTTAGAGGGTCTGAAGTGACATGATGTGTTGCTCATGAATCTTGGTACCATTGTTGAGGTTGAGGTGAAAAACCTGGTCCAATGATAGAGACCTAGACAGTACTAGTAACAAGAATAATATTAGTCTTTTTATATTGTAGAACAAAAGGGGTTTAGGCCCTGAATTTAATAGTTTTGGGCTAGCCCAAATGGAAAAGAATAAATAGGTGTTGGGGGAGTAGAATAGGGGCAGGCAGAACTTGGATCTGAACTGGGACCCGGGAGAGACCGAGGGCACTCTCGAATTTGCCTTTGTAGGTTTGAAGAATTAATCTTCCATTTCTTATTGAGCCATCCGGCAATGATATAAATACAAAATTACAGATAAGCTAAGGTTGTTACAGATCCTAATATTTAGGATCTATCTATTCTTACCTACACTGCGTGTTAATCTAAGAGTTAGAGTTCAAAATCAACCCTACTTCCTATCTATACAGTTTCGGATGTACACATAATAAAATAACATTAATATGCTACATTTTTCTACACTCCCCCTCAAGTTGGTAAGTATATATCATACATTCCCAACTTGCTTATAAGAAACTCAAACACTGGTTTAAACAGCCCCTTTGTAAAGATATCAGCTGTCTGCTCTTTAGTAGATATGAATGGTGTGCATACAATTCCAGCTTCAATCTTCTCTTTGATAAAATGCATGTCCACCTCAATGTGTTTAGTACGATCATGTAGCACAGGATTGTGAGCAATATTAATGGCTGCTTTATTGTCACAATATAATTTCATAGGTAGATCCATTTCCATATTCAACTCTGTCATCATTCTTTTGATCCAAAGTAGCTCACAGATTCCATTAGCCATAGATCTAAATTCAGATTCTGCACTACTTCTGGCAACAACATTCTGCTTCTTACTCCTCCAAGTCACTAGATTCCCCCATACATAAGTACAATATCCAGATGTAGACCTTCTATCAGTTATTGACCCAGCATAATCTGCATCTGTAAAGGCTTCTACACTTCTATTGTCACTTCTTTTAAAAAATAATCCTTTCCCTGGACAACTTTTCAAATATCTTAGGATCCTGTAGGTAGCATCTAGATGTTCTTGGAATGGATTATGCATGAACTGACTAACCATACTGACTGCAAAGGCAATATCTGGCCTTGTATGTGCCAGATAAATCAACCTTCCCACCAATCTTTGATATTGGTGAATATTAACTGGTACTCCTTCCTTGACATTTCCTAACTTCTGATTAGGGTCAATTGGAGTATCTATTGGTCTGCATGCACTCATACCTGTTTCATGAAGTAGGTCCAGTACATACTTCCTTTGGGATACCACAATTCCCTTCTTTGATCTTGCTATCTCCATGCCAAGAAAATACTTCAATTCTCCCAGGTCTTTGATTTCAAATTCCTGAGTAAGCTTCTTCTTCAGGTCTTCAATCTCTTCACAATAGTTTCCTGTAAGAATTATATCATCCACATAAACAATTAGTACTGCAATTTCTCCCTTAATGGAGAATTTCATGAATAGTGTATGATCTGCTTGGGCTTGTTTGAATCCCTGCTTCTTTATGAACTGAGTAAACCTTTCAAACCAAGCCCTTGGGAACTGTTTAAGCCCATATAAGGCTTTCTCTAGCTTGCACACCTTTGAGCCATATTGTTCCTCAAACCCAGGAGGAGGGCTCATGTATACTTCCTCTTCAAGCTTCCCATTTAGGAAAGCATTCTTCACATCTAACTGTTGAAGAGGCCAATCTAGGTTAGAAGCTAGAGATAGTAGAATCCTTATAGTATTTAATTTTGCAACTGGTGCAAAAGTTTCTGTATAATCTATGCCATAGGTTTGTGTGTATCCTTTGGCAACCAGTCTGGCCTTATATCTTTCAAGTGTACCATCTGCCTTGAATTTAGGAGTAAACACCCATTTGCATCCAACCCTTGGTTTATTTTTGGGTACCTCTACAGTCTGCCATGTCTGATTCTTTTCAAGGGCATTCATTTCTTCTAAAACAGCCTTCTTCCACTCAGGTATAGATAGGGCTTCCTGTATGGTTAAGGGAATAGAGACACTGGAAAGGCTAGAGGTAAAAGCTGCAAATGATGTAGATAACTGAGAATAGGACAGATAGTTTGAGATAGGGTATTTAACACATGACCTTTTTTCTTTTCTGAGAGCAATGGGTAGATTTAGATCACTGAAATTATTACCTTTGTCATTTTCTGGCATTGAGTCAGATGTATTGACAGTGGCAGGATCATGGATGTCCTCTATTCTGTGATTTGGAACTCTCCTTTCATAAACCTTGCCAAAAAACTTACTTGTCTGCTGTTCATCATCTTTCCTTGTTTCAGTCAAAAAAATTTCATTTTCTTTTGACTCTTGACTATTTTCTAGTGCATCTAACTGTCTATTATACTGTGCATCTAGATTAATGTCAAGAGGTTCTAGTTTTTCAAGTATATGTGATACATTATTACCATCTTCATTAGGAATCTCCCCCTGAAGATGAGTACCAAAAAAAGATTGATCTTCTACAAAAACAGTGTTCATAGTTATAAACATCTTTTTTGTTATAGGGTCAAAACATTTATAGCCTTTCTGAGTTGAAGAGAGTCCTAAGAAAACACATTTTTTTCCTTTAGGGTCAAATTTACTTGCAGTTCTGTCAGGATTGGTAATAAAAATTGTGCACCCAAAAATGTTTATGGGAAGAGAATTAATTAGTCTAGTTTCAGGAAAACAAGCTTGAAGAGTATCAATAGGAGTTTTGAATCCTAGAGTTTTTGATGGCATCCTATTAATTAGATAGGTAGCATGTAAAACAGCTACTCCCCATAAATATTTTGGAATTTTGGCAGAAAACATTATTGCACGAGTAACTTCAAGTAAATGTCTATTTTTCCTCTCAGCTATTCCATTCTGAGCAGGAGTATTTACACATGAACTTTGATGAACAATCCCTTTTTCAGCAAAAAAAGTATTTAACTTCTTAGAAAAATACTCAAGTCCATTATCACTTCTCACAATTTTGATATTAGTGTTGAATTGAGTTTGGATCATTGAGTAAAATTGTTTGAACACCCTTTCAATCTCAGATTTTTCTTTAAGTAAAAACACCCATGTGACCCTTGTATGATCATCTATGATAGTTACAAACCACCTTTTTCCTTTCAGAGTTGAAACTCTAGATGCACCCCAGATATCACTGTGTACAATAGTGAAAGGACTAGTTGGTTTGTAACTATGAGGGATGTAAGAACTCCTATGATGTTTGGCAAGTGCACACATATCACAATGAAATGATGAAGGATTTTTATTAAGAAATAACTTAGGAAACAACATTTTCAAATAGGAAAAACTTGGGTGACCTAATCTATAGTGCATTAGGTACACTTCATTATTACAAGGAAAAACAGTTTGCAAACAAGTTGTTTCTTGACCTTGTTTATTCAATTGTGTTCCTTCATCAAAAGTATAGAGGCCATCTTCCTCTCTAGCACTGCCAATCATCTTCCCTGATGCCAGATCCTGAAAAATGCAATAAGAGGGAAAAAAATTTACACAACACTGAAGGTCTTTAGTAATTTTACTAATAGAGATAAGATTGCAGGAAAGTTTAGGAACATGTAAGACTTTGGAAAGGTTAATGGATGAGGAAATTTTAATATTTCCCATCCCTGCTATGGCTGAGAAAGAGCCATCTGCAACTCTAACTTTTTTATCTCCTGCACAAGGTTGATAAGAAGAAAAAAACTTTGGAATATAGGTCATGTGATCTGTTGCACCTGAGTCAATGACCCAGGTGTTTTTAGTTTTTTCAGAACAAAAATATGATGTTATTTTACCATTCTGGGCAAAAGAACAGGTAGGGTTTTCAGGATTGGAGATTTTCTGGGTAGGTATGAATCTGAGTAGGTACTCTATCTGTTCCTGAGTGAATGGTAGCTGTTTAGGTTCAACTCCTGCCTCTTGTTGAGTTTCAGTCACAGTAGTTTGTAGGGCCCTTTCTACTTTCTTCTTCCCAGCTCCTGGTGGTTTTCCATGGAGTTTCCAGCATGTATCCCTTGTGTGCCACAGTTTCTTGCAGTGATCACATCAAGGTTTTTTCTTGTTGTCATCACTTCTGGCCACCAAAGCTGAAGATTCCCCAGGTTCTTCATTAGGTGCTGGGGTGTTGTACATGACCTTCTTCCTGCTGTCCTCCATCCTGATTTCAGAAAATACCTCCCTGATAGAAGGTAGAGGTTTTTTTCCAAGTATCCTCCCCTTAACTTCATCTAGGTCCCTATTGATCCCTGCTAGAAACATATAGACCCTATCATTCTCTTCTTTTTTCTTATGTCTGGCCAGATCCTTAGCACTCTCCCACTCTTCATCATCATAGCATTGATCTAATTCTTGCCACAGAGATACCATTTCATTGTAGTATGAAATAATATCCCTATTTCCTTATTTAGATTGCCACAATTTGGTTTTGAGTTCAAAATTTTGAGAAGAGTTCTCAAGGTCTGAATAAGTTTCCTTAATAGAATCCCATACCTCCTTTGCAGTTTTCATAAACATATGAGGTTTGGCAATTAGGGGCTCCATGGAGTTGAGAAGCCAAGCTGTTATGAGTGAATTCTCTGACCTCCATGTACTGTACCCTTCTTCTGCAGGTAGTTTTGGTTGGATTTCTCCTGTGATGTAACCCAGCTTTCCCCTCCCATCAATTGCAAGTCTGACAGATTGAGACCACTCCAGATAGTTTGTTCCATTCAATCTATGACTAGTGATTATCATAGATGAATGAATAGGAGACTGGTAATTTGTCATAGAGCTAATTTGGGAGTTAGGGTTAGTAGTGTGTGAGGAATCAGCTTCACTGGTTTCTACCATTGTTTAAACCGAGGCTCTGATACCATGTAGGTTTGAAGAATTAATCTTCCATTTCTTATTGAGCCATCCGGCAATGATATAAATACAAAATTACAGATAAGCTAAGGTTGTTACAGATCCTAATATTTAGGATCTATCTATTCTTATCTACACTGCGTGTTAATCTAAGAGTTAGAGTTCAAAATCAACCCTACTTCCTATCTATACAGTTTCGGATGTACACATAATAAAATAACATTAATATGCTACATTTTTCTACAGCCTTCAACTGTATCGTTTCTTTTCACTTCTTCAATTTCAGTGTTCTATTTCAACAATTCATCGCCATATTTGCATGTACTTAACATTGGTATCAGAGCCTCCTTCCTGGAGCCTGAATCGATCGTCAGTTTCAACGACAGTTGAAGAAGAAGATGGACAATAGCGACAGTCAGTGGAAGGAGTTGCGTTATATGCTACGCAAACTTCGTCACCGTCAGAGGCGACATAGAGACAGAGCTAGGAGCCCTCCTAGACATCGTCGATCAATTGAAAGCCAGTCGTCCTTGCAAGCCAAGTCTCCCAGTGCATCGCAATCGCGAACTCCAGCTGCTAGCGAGAAGTCTTCGCACTCTCGAGGTAATCCACATAGTCCGTCGGTCTCTTCGCAGTCGCCAGCATCTTCTTCCTGTTCGCCAGACTCTTTGCCGTCAGTAGACGCTCCTCACCTATCATCAACGACCAGTTCGAAATTGTCGTCTCTGGCCGCATGTCACCGTTCGCCGACGCTAGCCGCTCCTCACCATGTGCAAGCTTCATCAGTTTTCAGAACCCTAGACCAAGCTGAATCCGAAAATGGATCACCAGGATCTTCATCGCCGACAATGAACATTAAGTTGAGATTGTCAGAACCGAAAGAGCAGCTCACAAGCGCAGATAAGTCAAAAAGGACAGGTGATAAGATTTATTATTCGACTCTAGTGAAAGCCCTGCCAAAATCTGTTGATTCATCTGAACCAAATCAAAAACTAGATCAGATCATCTATAGTATCAAACTTCCTGGACTTGCTTTATTGGGTGAAGGCATGGCACATACACTTTATTTTTGTAGGGGAGAGCATGAAACAATTGGAAGGTTATTTGTAGGAGTGTTTGTGTGTGCTGAAACAGACTACTTATCTTTTCCTTGGAGGGAGAAGTGTGTTGCTTGTGCTGAAAGTCAGGACCAAGCTCAGGTGGGTGACTGTGTTATAATATTCCCGGATGCCTTGGCAAAATCATGGGTGCAGGATGATCCACAGATAATTTCATTTGAAGAATCAGTTTTCAATCGGGATGATGAATTCCTTCTTAATAGCAGTCATGAAAGAAAAATTCATGCAATAAAGAAGTTCAGTGTTGTTACCAAATTTAAGAATCTTGACAATGTTTTTGGCCCTATTTCAGATTACCGGTTGAGTAGACTCAGTGTGGATCTGGACCCTACTATTCAGATTGCTGGAATTGATATCTCCAAGAGGGAACAACTCATGAATATATCTTTAAAGCCCAAAAGGGTTAAAGGAAGGGAAGCCGAAGTAAATGTTCAACCTTGTAC